TTTGAGATGATGGAAACTATCCTGTGCTTCCCACACACACACACACACACACACACACACACACACACACACCCTGGCAGTGGGGAGCTGAGCTTTGAAGGGCAAATGAAACAGGGATGGAACAAGGAAAATGTTCTGTACAGAGAAGGCAGACTCTCTGGAGGGGGTGAGGGCTGCCAGGGGCATCTGACTTGTTTCAGGAACTAAAGACAGTGTCTGAAGGCCTGGATTACAGAGAATAGGGAGGGGGTTGTTCTTTGATTTGTGGCTGCTAAGGGTGAGGGCACAGGTCACCTGGGTCTTGGGAGTCTCTTCAGGATGTTTGTTTTCATCCTGAGGAAAGTGGAGCACACTGCAGGGTTTAATGAAAAGGCACGCCGTGGTCTGATGTGTGTTTCCAACTGTCTCCACTGAGGAGGCCACTCCTGTTGTCTAGGGAGATAGGACCGAGGGCATGCTTTGTCACTGTCTGCAGAGGAAATAATGGGTATGTCTCAGTTACAGGGCCTGATGTAGCTGGGGAGCAAGGAGGGATGCCCCTATGATGCTCCCTCTAGCGTCTGTCTTACAAAGCTGAGCCACCAGGGATGATATTCACGGCGAGGAAGGCCATCTTTCTTTACTAGGGAATAGCTTTATTACCCTTATATGGAAACCTGAAAATGTAGTCAAGAGTTTACTGCCCTCAGGAAATTTGAACACTTCACACATGGGGGAAAGAATGGCAGATTTGGGACATTGATCTTGAAAGTTTAGAGGTTCATGCTCTAGTGTTTTCCCTTTGATTTTCAAAAGTAGACAAATTGGTATATATTCAGTCTTTCTTTTTTTCAAGAACAGGCTTATAAAGTTCTAAATTCATGAAAATTACATTTAAAACTGATCTCCTTTTTTCTCACCCCCCATCAAGTCTGTTACTTCAACCTGAAAAACTGCATACAATCAGTGACCAAAACCACCCATGTCTTCAACTCCTTTTCAGTGACGTGTTAAGTCCCTTTTTCTTAGGACCCTGGGTAGTTAGAGTTCTGTTGGAACAGCCCCACCCCCTCTGATGGCTGCTCCGCTGGGCCATGTTAGGAGATGCTCTGGAGCCCCCTTCCTGTGGACATTGGCAGGTTCACCAGTGCTAGAAAAGGCCGTCCACTCCCTTGATGAAAGGCACCAGTCAATGCTAGTACAAGCTGCAAGCTTGCTGCAGGCTCTGGAGTTGAGCTGGGTTCCCCCGGACAGAATGAGGCCCCCTGGAACCTTGGCATGCTTTTAGGGAGCATCTCTGAAGCAGATCACAGTTCGAAGTTTTCATAATTTCTAGCCAGTTTTATGTAGGAAAGTATCCCATGAGATCCCTTCAAGGGAAGGATGGGAAGTCACAGGCGGTATTAGTCAAGACCGGAAATGTGAAATTAGAAAGTCCCTATTAACCCTTTGCTTAAGTAGAGGACAACGGCTGGGGGATGCAGCCCCATGAGGCATGTGTGGACCTCAGGTCAGGTGGTAGATTCTCTCCTTTTCTCGTTCTGTCTCTTACTTACACACACACACACACACACACACACACACACACACACACACACACACACACCTTAGCTTGCATCTCCCTCTATGTCATAACCTATGCCATAATCTAGTAGCTTCCTTGGTGGTGGGAACTGGGACAGGATTTCATGAGCTGCCTTAGCTCCCAGTGGCAGCCCCTAAATGCAGGCAAATGGAATCTCAGCGCTCTTGTGGACTGGCTCTCGCCTCTCTCCCTACACTTGCGGTTGACAGCCCAACTCTGCCCATGCCTTTTTCTGCAGCACTCCACCTCAGTGAGCATCATGGGCTTTTCCAACACTCTGGAGATGGAGTTGTCATCTACCAGGCTGGCGAGGACCATAGAGCCGCAGATCCACAGAGTGAGCAGCCTGACAGCTGGTCCCACCCACACAATTCCAAGCCTGCTGAGTGGCCCACCCCAAACTGTGTCCAGCCTGATGAGTGTCTCAAGCCATGCCGTGCCCAGCTCAGCCAGTCACCTGCAGCCTGTGCCAAACCTTGTGCGTGGCACGTTCCAGTCTATGCCCAACCTTAGGGGTGATTGCTCCCAGGCCATTACAAGCCTGGCAAGCAACCACTCGCAGGCTGGGTCCAGCCTGGTGTCTGGGCACACCCAGGCTGTGCCGAGTCTGGCCACTTGTTCTCTGCAGGGCATGCCTCCGGTTTCTGACATACATTTGGAGACGAGATCCACTTCCAGTCCTGGTTCTGGCCAAATTGCAGAGAGCCTGGGCCCCAAGGATGGGTCTGAGTCCTCCCTGGGGAATGCCCTGTGTAAGGTAAGTCTCGGGAAAGTGGCATTCAACTTTTGCTTATTGTGAAGCGAAAGCTTGGCCATTGGCAGCCTTATCTTAGCAGTTTTGCTGATGGCCAGAATGTCTGATTCCATTCTTGTTGACTTTTCACCTTTGGCAGATGGAAAGTGAGGATTGCACTCGCTTCACAGACTCCGTAGGACAAGGCTCCACAGCCTCCAGTCTGGATGTTTCCAAAGATTTGGCTATTTCCTCAGAACTGGAGGAACCAATTAACCTCTCTGTGAAAAAACCTTCCCTAGCACCGATGACCAACACGTCTATTGCTCTACAACAGTACCAGCACCCAAAAGGTGAGACTTAAGTGCCTGCTTTTCCTGTTGGCCATAGACTTGAGCAGGCCTCTCGGCAGTCTATGGAGATGGAGCAGTCTATTTCGTAGGTACTTAATACATACAGGAACAACGGTAACCACCAAATGAACTGTTTTTCTCTTTTCTCTTTTTTTTTTCTTTATACTGACAGACCAACTGAAAAAAGTATTGGCCCATATTACATAAGTAATATCCCCTTATATTTTATGCAACTACATCAACATTTTAGACCCAGCTTTGCCCAAGGAAAGTACAGAGGGCAGTGTTAGTAAGTGGGCGTTCCTGTTTGTGCCTCATCACTGTTCCCTGCCCGTCTGTGTGGACTGTGTTGTGCAGAGGATCTGGTCCCCAGCGCTGGTGCTAGAATCTCCACACTAGTGAGGCTGCAGAGAATGCCAGGAGGTCACACCAGTGTATCGGAAACAGGTTGTTTATGAGCTCTTAGAAGATGGATTTCAGTGCCTGACTCAGCTCTTACCTCTCAGCAGCCTCTGAGTATTATTATCTGTGCTAATCTTTGCCAAAGATGATGGCTTTCATCCTCCCTCAGGAAGGAGACCCATAGTAGGGTTGTCCCCACCATGAATGAACACACTTGGTAACAATTATGTGGCAGATGTATGACCAAAAATCCAAATAACAGAAATAAGTGGAAGGCCTAAGTGACATTTGTTGCCGCAAATGTATGTCATAGCTATTTAACTTGTCTTTTGTCTTAGAATATGAGAATTTTGAACAAGAAGCCTTAGAGCTGGATACAAAGGAGAATTCAAGCATCAGGTAATGACTCTTGGCCGACCGTCTTACTCTCAACTTCCTGTCCTGAGAGGTTGGCACAGGATGTAGTCCTATATAAGAACTAGAAGCAGAAATTTATCTTCACCTGCCGTCACCACCTGCTGAGCCTCAAGTGGGGTCCATGGGTTGGGTGCCTATAGCAGCTATGGGAGAGTTCCAGGCGTTGTCAGGCATGCACTCTGTAACTGTCCTTCCTCTTCAGGGAGCCTTCCTTTAACTACAGGCCGTACCAAAGGTCTTTCCAGTATTTGACAGGGTTGGCTGGGCAGAGCTTGACCGGAGGCAGAATGTGGACCTATAAAGGGTTAACTGAGGAGGCTGTTCATTTGTGGGATCACGAATGAGCCTAACTTAGAGACTGAGGCTATCTGGGGCTCCTGATGAGACCCAGGGTGTCTCTCTTACCACAGAGCCATCAGCAGTGAGCCCAAGATTCCCTATGTGCGACTGGAGAGGCTCAAGATCTGTGCTGCCTCATCAGGAGAGATGCCTGTGTTTAAGCTGAAGCCCCAGAAGAACAGCCAGGACGGGAGCTTCCTGCTGGTGATCGAGTGTGGCACCGAGTCCTCTAGCATGTCCATTAAGGTACCGCTTGGTTCTGCTCGGCCCAGGCGAGGAGCCTCTTTGTTGCTGCTAGAATACTTGCTTTAGGGCCTTATGCGAACCTCAGTGGGACTGGAGCTAGCCTCGTCCTCTGCTGCATGGCATCTGGGAGATACAGCAGGGTTGAGCTGGGCCTTGCTGGCTTGTGGTCCTGGAGTAGGAGGTCCTCATAGGAAGTACTTAGTGTCTGTCAGTCTCCCCCTACCTCACCCCTGCCACCATTTGCCAATACTGTGCTCCAACTGCTCAGACTCACTTCTTCCCCAAGGTCAGCCAGAACAGCCTGCCTGATGCCACCCACGGCCCGGGTCTGGGGGGAAGAAAGGTCACTGTCACCTCCCCGACTGGGCAGCGGCCACTGGAGGTGGACAGTGCATCTTCTGAAGAACACAGACTCATTCCCCGAACTCTGGGAGCCAAGAAGTGCACCCCAGCCCCCATAGAGAACGAGGACTTCTGTGCTGTGTGTCTCAATGGTGGGGAGCTGCTGTGCTGTGACCGCTGCCCCAAAGTGTATCACCTTTCCTGCCATGTGCCAGCCCTGCTCAGCTTCCCAGGGTGAGTCATCCTCAGGGCCAGGCCACAGTGCTCCCAGGGTGGCCTTACCTGGGCCGGCACCAAGTCTGGTCCTGTGGATTGTTGGGCCCTGCAATCGTGTGCCTTCTGCACACAGATTTGTCCTGTACCTAGCCCTAGCTCCCACCTAACCCCTGTGTTTGTTTGTTTGTTTTCCCAAATTCATGGCATCTTGGTTTATCTTACTTCTTTCAAGCCTGTGGCTAGCAGGCCATTCCCTTTACTGAGGCAGGGCTGGGGACACAGTTTCTTACGTCATCACCCCCTTTTCTGTGCCTATCTTGGGCGGAGGGTCAGGGAAGGATGCTGAATTCTAATGCCCTCACCTGCTGTGCAGGGGGGAGTGGGTGTGCACCCTGTGCCGCAGCCTGATGCAGCCTGAGATGGAGTACGATTGTGAGAATGCCCGCTACAGTCAGCCCGGAGTGCGGGCACCTCCCGGCCTGAGCACCAATGACCAGAAGGTAGGGAAGGGTTTGGGGAGCAGAGTTTTCTATGTGAGGCAGCCCTTTGTGCCTACAGAGGTTGAGTTTTTTTTTCCCAGGGGGATGGCGAGCCATTTTAGGGGGTGGGCTTTGTGACATCACTGTGACAAAATGCCTGAGAAAACCAACCTCAAGCAGAACAGGGTTATTTTGACTCATGGTGTCATCCCATGGTCACTTGGCTTCATTGTCCCCAGGTCTGTGGTGAGGCAGAAACAGTACAGTGGGGAGCATGTGGGAGAGCAGAGTTCAGAGAGAAGGGGGCTCCAGGGACAAAATATACCCTGCAAGGATGTGACCCAGATGACCCACTTCCTCCCACTTGCTACCACCCCTTAAAAGTCTCACCAGCTCCCCACAGTCCGGAAGTGGATTGATCCCTGTGCGAGGCTGGAGCCTTCATGGTTAAGTCAGCTCCTAAAGGCCCTGCCTCTGAACTGCTGCCCTGGGACCAAGCCTTCAATCCACGAGCTTCGGGGAGGGGGAGGGATGGAGGACATTTAAGGCTGTGTCCTGGGCCATGCCTGATGACGTGGCCTGTGGGACTTTTATGTTATTGTCCTCACCCCAGCAGTTTCCCTGTGGCCTGGGAGCCCACGCTGCCTTCTTAGGGTGGCTGGCGCCCTGAAGGCCAGAGGCAGACCGCTCTCAGGGTTCCATCTCTAGTCCTCATTGAGGTGGAGTCAGAACTGTGTGCCACTTGCCGCTTGTGATTTCTGCAGAAGTGTGAGAAGCTGGTCCTGTCTCTGTGCTGCAACAGCCTCAGCCTGCCCTTCCACGAACCAGTCAGCCCCCTGGTAAGCAGGCCCCGTGCTTCTGCCTGCTGCCCTCGGTTCTGCTCAGGGAACGCCTAGGGGTCAAGGCCATTCCTGCCGCTTCCTCTCCCTCACAGCTGCTACTGCATTGACTTAGCAAGTGACACCGCTTCCTTTTCCCATCCCTCCTTTCTCCTACTCTTTCACTTATATTCTAACTCACTCTCCATTTCCTCCTGTTTCTTATCTATCCCTACCCTCATTTTCTCCTCCTCATCTCCCCCTCCCCTTCTCTTCCTCCCCAAGGCCAGGCATTATTACCAGATCATCAAGAGGCCCATGGACCTGTCGATTATCCGGAGGAAGCTACAAAAGAAGGACCCCGCTCACTATACTACTCCAGAGGAAGTGGTGTCAGACGTGCGCCTCATGTTCTGGAACTGTGCTAAGTTCAATTATGTATGTTGGGTTTGTTTTCTCCATTTCACAGTGACCCTAAGATTGTCATGGCTGGGGGCAGATGTGGGCAAGAGAGTCTGGGAGCAGAGTCCTGGGGTTTGCTATGGCTTAAAAGCCCTCTCCCAAATGTGGGCCCTAAGCATGGACTCAGAAGGATGGGGCGGGGGGGGGGGTGGTACTAGTAACTGGCCAATTGTGGGTATCTACCAAGATTACTTCTCTTTATGAACTGTTACCAAATGGGTTATCTTGAGTCCTAGAAGAATGTACCAAGCTCCAGGTCTCTCAGGCTGAGATTCCAAGATGGGCCAGTCAGGCTTGTGCTACTTGTATCCCTTCTGATGGAGGGGCATAGAGGAGATGGCCTGGTAGAACAGGCTGGACCACTACTTTCTCCCCTCATTAGCCTGACTCGGAGGTTGCAGAGGCTGGTCGCTGTCTGGAAGTATTCTTTGAGGGCTGGCTAAAGGAGATCTACCCAGACAAAAGCTTTGCCCAGCCCCAGCAAGAGGATTCAGACTCTGAGGACGTATCTGGAGAGAGTGGCTGTTCCACCCCCCAGGGCTTCCCGTGGCCTCCCTACATGCAGGAAGGCATCCAGCCCAAGAGGCGGCGGCGACATATGGTAAAGAGCTACTGCCAGCCAGTGGGCAAGGTGGGTGGGTGGTGGCGCTGGCAAGGGGCACCTGGGGAGCATGGGAAGAGCATGGACCTATAAAACCTTCACTCTCAACCCCTTAGCATAAGAGAAAGGTAGGGTGGTATGGAGATCACCAGCTCCAGTGATCAGTGAAGGCTGCAATTCAGGGGGGCCCATGTTCCTGCCTAGGGTCCTCTACCAAGTTCATGGACCTAGGGTGAAGAAGAGGTGTTCTGACCCCTGGCTCAGTACTGGTTATACTACACGGTGACTGTCATGCCCATATAAAGAGAGCTACCTGACATCAGTGTCTTAGTCCTACTTGGGCTAGAGGGAAAAAAGAAGGGACCCTTTAAGCTCCTGGCTATAGGAAGGAAGCTTGCAACAGAGAGGCTTCTAGGACCTCTGGCTGTCTCATCTGTGTAGACCTGAAAGATCAGTCTCCTTCCCTGCCTCCTCCCTCCCTCTGCCGACTCCTTCCTTCCCCCTCTACTTCCTTTCATCCCCCTTTCCATCTTTCCTTTATGAAATAGGGTCTTACTCTATAGCCAGGCTGGATTGGAACTATCTAGAGAGACCAGGCTGGCCTTAAACTTGGGACAGTCCTACTTCTTCCCCCCAAGTGCTAGGGTTACAGGCATGTGCCTCTACATGCAGCCATTCTGTTAAATTCCACTGAAATGTGCTGCTGGCCACCTATGTGCCAAGGTCTCTCCAGAAACCCCTGGTTATTTATAACACTCAGTGCATAGTATATAGGGCCCTTAGTGGGCTCTGCTGTTCCATTTCAGGGTAGAATACATCAGCTCTAGGGAGCCCAATCCTGACTCTGGCCCCCTTTGGTTTAATAAATCCAAATTTGAGTATTCCAATTTTTTCTTTTATCTCAGGAGAATGAAAAGACAAAGAGAATGTCATTTCGTCTGGCCAACAGCATCTCGCAGGTGTGAGAACTGGAAGGAGACGGGGCACTCTGGTGGCCGATGTCCCACCCTCTCGACCATCCCTCCCCATCCTTCAGCTTATTCTCTTCAGAGTGTGGCTGTGAGATGAGTCTTGTTGAGCGGATAGCGCTCCCTTCATCATTTGCATCTCTAGCATTTATTTGGGAGCCATAGTGCATCCACCATAAAGAAGATTTCAGTAAAACAGGGCCGAGGGAGGTGTTCCTCATTGCCAGAGTAACCGACATACAGGTTCCATGCCTCGAGGCTCAGGAGGACCTGGCTTCCTTATGAGCTCTCTCAGGTGAGGAGAGCAGACTTGGCTCACCTCTCAGCAGCCACGGCTCAGGAGCACTGTGTGTGTCTGAACTCGTGGCTTAGAAGCGGGTACAAGGAAGAAAGCGAGGTTTGGATACATGGCAGGCCTGCGGTCCCTGTCCCAGCACAGCCAAAGACTGTCACGGTTTGCCTTTGCTCGTCCTGTTGGGACAGCGGCGTCTGCCACTGGCAGAATAATGGAGGCTTCTCGAGGCCCTAGGTCTCAATTGGTGCCTATTTGGGTTCTAACGGTTTTCAGGGTATTTGCTGTTTACGCCCCCTTTCCTGAGTAGGACTTAGGTGGTCACTGTGAAATGCTGTGTGGGGTTTGGCACTCTTGCCTGAGCTAGGTGGCAGTGTAAAGGCCAGATTGCACTCACATCCAGGAGATGCCAGCTTCCTAACTCTGGGCTGATAGCACTTGAGAACCTACCTTCTCAGAAGTGACTGTCATGTGTGTCGATGGCTCTTCCTTGATCATCTCTATTCAGACATCTGCATCTTGAGTTTTACTTGGGAGGAGTGTGAGGTGGTGTCTGCTGCAGGTACAGAGTTCCCTGGCAAGAACAGCCCACAGTCAGTGCAGTGTGCTGGGCCTCTTCTCCTGCCCAGGATTCTAGTTCTCTCCTTTTTCACACAACCAAAGATCAGAATTGTGGCCATGCTGCTCACAGCCCGGAAGCAGCCAACGCTCTGTCACCCTTTTTTGTTGGAGCTCGGAGAAGACAGTGGTGACCCATAGGAGTCTAACCTGGGCTAAGGGCAGAGAAGGGGGAAATTGAGAGGTGAGAAGCCAGTGTCCTTTAGTGACCCTGAGGTAACTCTAGGGTCGTAGTTCTTACAGAATGCAGAAAGGCATTCTGGAAGCCATGGGAATAGAGTGGTGTAATAGAGCTGCAGGCCGCATTGTAGACAGATCTCCACAGTGTAGGCAGGGTGTTTTGGAGGAAGCCTCTGAGACATATACAGGGACAGGCTTCTTCCTAGGCAAAGGCTTGTTTGAGGAAGGACCTATTGATTATATTGCTGGTGGAGATGGCATCCCAGTGGCCTGGTCCTGAGGCATGCCGTGGTTGATTTCAGGGGACTCTCAGGCCATGGCTTTGTTTGTTTTGAAGAGGTGCAGTTTAAGGAAGTGATTATTCACAGGGCATTTGCTGGGAAGCAATCTTCTTTTTACCAGAAGGCTTTTCTTCTTTCCCTGTGAGTCAAGAACAGCACTCAGTCTCTTCTGCACTGGACTGAGGGAGCCACTTCACTTCGAAGCCCCGCCCACTGCCTTGTCATTCAGCAGCACTGCCAAGCTCTCTTTAGTAGATGGGCTTCCATACCCTGCTCTCTAATCCAGGCAGCTGAATCTTCAGTTCATTTCTAGTCCTGGAACCTTTGAAAACAGGCTTTGCTCCTGAGGTTCACAAAGCTTTTTGGTTGGGGCCCTGGCTATTTCTCCTTTAATTTTTGATTTTTGCATCTTTTTCTCTGATTGGTCTGGTGAGGGTCCTTCTGTTCATACCTTCCTAATTCTGCTTTGGGCATCTTTCCTTTTGTGGCTCATAGTCCATACTTCATGGTGTTTGGCCCTGGAAAGCCACTGAACACTATGATAGCCTGAAACCTGACACAGCCTTTCCTGGACCAGCTGGAGACTGTGCCTATGATATGGAAATGCCTGGCTCAAAGCCTCGTTTCCCCTTCCTTGGTACAGCTTGTAGCTAGAGTGCGTCCTGTTGGAACAAGGATCAGCTTTGGGCCCAGAGATCTTGAAAATGTGGTAGGCAGTCCTCTGTTCCCTTTCCACTCTGGAGCCCCTCTGTGCTGAGAGGCTCCCTCTGGGCATGTGAGCAGGGCAGATAGGAGAGAGGGGTGCCTTTTCCTTCAAGGATGCGAGGCCCTGGCCCGTCGTCATTCCTTCCCTACACTCACTAGCCCATGGAATTTTTCCTGGAACCAAGTTTTTAAAGTTATCTTAATTTTTTTCTTTGCATGCAAAAAACAGAACTGGAAGTTTAAGAAATCTAAAACAAAACCAAACACTTGTTCACTAAGTAAGTTTTGCGCTTTGGCTCTTCAGCATTTTTATTGAATCCTGCAGTGACTCATTTCTGTATGGTCCCATCATAAAGTCAGGCTTTTTGGTCCCGGACAAAGTCATGCAATGGAAACGCAGTGAATTCTGGTTGTTCTGCTGCAGTGTGCAGCCCTAGAAAGACAAGAAACTTCCTTTTGCTGCGCTGAGAAATGTGCTAGTGGGAAGACTTCCATAGACACAAGGGGATTTTAGTGCAGAAATTGGTACAGGATGGACTTGGAAAGCATTCTTTCACAGAACTTGGGTAGGTTGATCCTCCTGAATTCTAGCAACAAGTACAAGCCTGCTGTAGGAACCTTGTTGAATGGCAGCTGCCAGGCCCTCCTTGGACATTGCTCCGTGGTGACACTGTTGGAAACACAGTGAATGTCAGTTTCCTATCCCCACTTTTGCCACAGGTCTTTGTGTGCCTCTTGATATCTAGTCCCTCTTTGCAGCTGGTCTCCGCTGCACCCCTGCTTTCACCGCACTGGTCACTTAGTAAAGTTCTGGGCCGAGTCTTTGCTTCTGTGCCCCTCTTCTCCAGCCCCGTTCACTGCTGTGCACATTCCCATTCCCTTTGTCCAGATCCGTGACCGCATCCCTCTCCCCTCTCCCAGACTTTCATTCTTCTCCAGGATTTCCTCCTCTTCCCAGCGTGAACCCAGGGCCCAGCACATAGGTTCTTATTAGCATCTTGAACTTTCCTAACCTCCCCACCTTCCACTTTCTCCATTTTTCACATCAGCCTGCTTTCTGTTCCTTTTTGGCTTCTAAGCATGGCAGGCTCAGAGCCACAGCCTCAGTATTGATTGGGAATTCTTGAACTTGGTATTACTCTTCTTTCTGATATACGTCCTTCATCTTTGCTGTTATCCAGCGACTTAACTTACCATCTGCTTCATTGAAGAGCGCTCCTAAGGCAAGCCCCCTCCCCCATATGCTTCTTCCTATTGACCAGTGTGTGTATCCTGCCTCACTTACTTCCTTGTGCTTCTAGTTCTGTATTATCTGAGCCCTGATATGTCCTCCAAGGCTCTGTTTTTCCCTTTCTGGGCTCTGCAGGCTCTCTCCATTGCTTACCTCTACACAGCCTACCAAAGTTATCTCTTGATTAAAAGAAAACTGTCATATCTGTGTCATAGACCTTTTCCCCTGTCCATCATTTTTCTCTTAAAATAGACTATTTGGCTGGACATGGTGCCACACATCTTTAATCCCAGCACTTGGGAGGCAGAAACCAGAGGATTTCTGGGAGTTCAATGCCAGCCTGGTCTACAGAGTGAGTTCCAGGCCAGCCAGGACTACACAGTGAGACCCTGTCTCAAAAAACAGACAACAGAAAGAATATTTTACTTTGATTCTTCTTCATCTTCAGTCCTCTATAGATTTTCATAAGAGGCACTAGTGACCACCCAGTTGCCAAATGAAATGAATGCCTTTCATTTCTCAACGCTCTCAAACTCTGCACAGCACCTCACTTCCCCACCATTCCCCTCACGAGCACCTCCTTCATTCAGCTTTTAGGATATTCCAGGTTGCTACATTATCTGTATCTCAGCCACGAAGGCTGAGCTTGTTTGAAACCTAGATAGAGGATGTGCCTGGCTGTCGTCATTTCCTCCTCCAGAGTCCGGGTAAGCAAGAAGAATCACAGCTGTTCCCACATCCTCCTCTCTGTTTCAGTCGCTTTTTCCTGGGTTTGCTTCTCCTCTGGTGATCTTGTTCATGAGCACCTGCAGAGAATTCTGCATCTGTGAATCCCTCCCTCTGTTGCTCCCAGGAGAATGGAGAGCCAGCCCATTGGTTAAGAGCCCCCACCTCGGTCAGCCTAAGTGAGGGTTGGATTTTGCAGCATGTAATCTGCCATCTGGCTCAACTGAGTTCCCATGCTGGTGGACAGCTCACCAGTATGATCTGTATCAGTTGGAACCTGCCTCGGTCAGCAGGGAGCCATGGATCATGGGAAGGTATGCTTCCATGCCTGATTCAGTGCTGCAGCCAGGAGAGTCCTGGCAGGGTGGGGGTCTGTCACAGTAACCTTCTGAGGGAGGGGAGACTGGGAAGTGCTGTGGTTCCTCACCTGAGCTGAGCCTAGCTCATCTAGACTCCTCCTGTGGGTCTTTCTCATCTGTGTTGATCATCCCTCATCTGCTTACTTCAGATGTTATTGGAGCTGGAGTTCCATCCAGGCAGCTGGATGGCTGCTGCCCTCTTGGAGGTATTGTAGAAGGACCTCTGACTTGAGAGTTTGAGAATCTCAATTTTGGCATTGTCAATGATGGGCGGTGTGACCTTGGGTACAGTTCCCTCATCTGTAAAGTTAGGGATCTCTCAGATTCTACAGCTCTAAGGATAACAGCTATGATTCTCACTCTGACGTCCAGGCCACAGAGGAACAGGGGAAGTCTGGGGGTGGGGAAACAGCTAGAGAAGTCCCAACCAAGCAGGGCAACAAACTCTACAGGCCAAACTGCACTGCTTTGAAGAAACTCTTCATTGGTGGTGCCGTTTCTAGAGCCATATGCCCACACCTCAAGCTGCGCTTCTGGGGTGTCTGGACACGTTCCTCCTAGGTCCTTCCTAGACATGGTCATTTGATCCAAAGTGGCTAGGGGCACAAGGAAGGGATTTAAGGGTAGCATAGTTCACTTTAAATGGACCCACACATTCAAAATCAAATAAAAAATAGCATTTTCCTTTACCAGCAATTCTGTTCTAGAGTGGTTTTTTAGTGCTTCATATCCTTCTGGATCCTGGATTCCAACAGCAGTAAGAGCATGGGCTAAAGAAAGCCTTCTAGAAGCGGGAGAGAACAGCT